GTATTTATTATTTCCACAGTTACAAACTGTCTTGATTATGTTAGTTTCATATTGAGTCTTGAAATTGGACAGTGTGAATTCTCTAACTTTGGTCACCATTTCAAAAAAGTTTTTGGTATTAGTTTTTGTTTTTTTTTTTTTTTGACTGTCTATGTAAGTTTTAGAATTGGTATCTACAAAAAAGAAAAAGAAAAACCTGTAGGAATTTTGATTGATATTCTGTTGAATGAGTTTATAGATCATTTTGTAGAGAACTGATATTTTCACAATATTGTCTCCTATTGATGTACATAATATATCTTCATTTTAAATTTAGTTTTGATTTTTTTCATCAAATTTTGTGGTTTTCATAATGCATTTATTTCTTGTGTGTGAATGTGAAGGTATTGTGTTAGCATTTTGCTTTAATTGCTCACTGCTAGACTATAGCAATATAATTGGGTTTTATATATTGGCCTTTTATTTTCTAACTTTGTTTTACTTTCCCCAACAAACTCTTAAACAATGCAACCAGACCAATTTTTCAAGGTTGTTTCACACCTTTTTTGTAACTTGCCATGCTTTTATTCTGCTAATAGATTTCTAAAAGTAATTTTAATCTTTAAAAATATTTAAGTTAAACTGAACTCTAACTGATAGACTTTGTTGGTTTCTTTTGCTTTTTATTTTGTTTTGTTTTGCTTTGCTCCTGTAGGGCTATTCTTTTTTCTTTAATTAGCCCTTTCTTTAGAGAAAAGCCAAAATAATTACCCTTATCAGTGTCCAGTCTGTGTTAACAAACTTAACATCTTATTCTATGACTACCACTAGGCAAGTCATTACTTGTTAATCCATTTTGTGGTTTAGCAAAGACCTATTTATATTTCTATTATAGGAGTCCTGGTGTGGCACTGCAGGATAAGCACTGGACTGCTTATTTCAAGGGTGGCAGTTCAAACCCACCAGCTACTCCTCAGAAACCCTACACAGTCACAATGAGGCAGAACCTACTCAATGACACTTAGCAACAACAACAGCATTTCTATTATATTTTCTGATTAACTTTTGTATCTTTTTTCTCAGTCAATACATTGATAATAACCATCTTGAAGGAACTGTAATTCAATAACTGATTGCTTGGCATCCACTTTCATAAACTCAGAATTTGGATGCCAAGTATCTTTAAAATAATAAGGATATTGAAAAGCTTTTGAAATAGCAATGGGATAGATCAACTTTCTTATGAGTCTCTTTTAGGAGTCCTGATGTGGTTCTGTAGGTTAATCAGTAGACTGATAGGTTGGTTTGAACTGCAAAGTTGGAGGTTTAACCTCAGCAGTTGCTCCTCAGAAATCTTATACAGGGTCACTATGAGTCAGAACCAACTCTAAGGCAAGCTTCTTTTAGCAATGCGAGTTTTTTTCAATATAAAATCAAAGGGCTACTAAATATGAGGAGTCCTGGTGTGGTGCTGTGGGATAAAGCACTGGACCACAGGACAATTTGAACCACAAGCTTGGTGGTTCAAACTCACCAACTGCTCCTTGGAAACCTTATCCAGGGTCACTATGAATCAGAACCAACTAGATGGCATTGAACAACAACTAAATGTGAATGCTTCAGTAGCCTTGTAATCTGACAAAAGAGTTGAAGTCCACTCTGAAATTCTAAAATGATCATTTATCAAACTTCAAGCAGTTAATAGACTTGTGGGAAATATGTATATGTGTGTTAACAGCATCTGAATCAATTAAACATTAATATTTGTGGAGCAATCACATTTCTATATTTGTGGTGCTTAGGGTTAATGTACTGGACTTCAAAGTCAGTTTGAACTGCAATGTTGGTGGTTCAAGTTCACCAGCCACTCCTCAGAAACCCTATACAAGGTCTCTGTGAGTTGGAACCAACTTGACGGCACTTAAAAACAACAACAGCAATAATCTTATTTATAAAGATCTGAAGGGTTAGCATGTATAAGAACATGTACTAATTCTGTGTGGTCACTTAATTTTCTAGAAAGTATCAAAGTAACATTTGGCAGAGTCAATATAAGGAGTCCTGGTGTGGCACTGTAGGATAAGCACTAGACTGCAAGGCCTGTTTGAACCATAAGTCAGTGGTTCAAACTTACCAGTCACGCCTCAGAAATCCTACATTGTGTCACTATTAGATGGACCCAACTCAATGGCACTTAACAACAACAACCAGTGAATATAAAGTTTACTAGGGACCAGTCACTGGAGAAGGATATCATGTTTGGTAAGGTGGAGGGTCAGAGAAAAAGGGGAAGACCACCAACGACATGGATTGGCCAAGTGGCAACATCAGTGGACTCAAGCATCGCAACAGTAGTAAGGTTGGCCCAGGATCGGGCAGTGTTTCATTCTGCTGTGCATAAGGTCGCTATGGGTTGATACCGACTCGATGGCACCTAACAACAACAACAACATATACTCTGTAATGAGAACACTTAAAAGTACCCAAATACACATTTTTCAATGATTCCATCTATGTTTCAAATTTGTTGATGTTATTGTTAAGTGCCGTCAAGTCAGTTCCAATTCACAGCGACCCTGTATAGGATTTCCAAGTAGTGGCTGTGGTTCAAACCAATCTTACAGTCCAGTGTTTTATCTTATGGCATCATGCTTAACTTTAAGTTGGAATTTTAAATAACACCCTTAAATCAAGCTCCATGGAGTTATACATTAATTGTGATTATGAATAATTTTTAAATTATATTGTTGTTGCTGTTAATTGCTGTTGAGTCAGTTTCCACTCATAGCGACCCTGTATAGGGTTTCCGAGGTGAGACTGGTGAGTTTGAACCACCGACCATGTTCAAACTGACCTTGCAGTCCTGTGTTTTATCCTAATGCTGTTGTTGTTCCTGCTTAGTGCTGTGGAGTGGGTTCTGATTCATAGCAACCTTGTATAGGGTTTCCTAGGACTGGCTGGTCAGCTTGAAGGCCAACAGTGAGGTTCAGACCCAGCTTGCTGTCTAGCGCGTTAACCCACAATGCCACATCAGTACCCCTTACCTTAATATTAGCTCAGGGTAAATATTTCACTTGTTGTTGTTGTTGTTATGTGCCGTGGAGTCAGTTCTGACTCATAGCGACCCTGTACAGGGTTTCCGAGGCTGTAAATCTTTACGGGAGCAGAAAGCCTCATCTTTCTCCCGTGGAACAGCTGGTAGTTTTGAACTGCTGACCTTGTGGTTCACAGCCAGATTCGTAACCACTACGCTATCAGAGCTCCTTACTATCTTACAAAAAGTTATTGGCATACAAAATCGCGTGTTCTAGCTTTTAGTGCTATTATCATTTGTGACCTTTATTACCAGGTGCTTGCAGTTCATCGATTTTTAAAAAAAGTAAATGTTTTAGGTCAACTGAATGAAGATCAACTGAATGAAGGGCTCATTTATAAATGAGTCTGTATTAGCCTCAAAAAGAATTTCTTTCTCAAGCTTTATTCCTGTTTTAAAGATTTCTCCTGGATGAATTCCCTATGTCTCTGTTAGGCCAGTTTTTGTTGCTGATGATGTGTGTTTTTGTATGGCCTGGGGCTAACCCCTTGGGGGTAGGTGAGAAATTTCTTCACAATGCTTTTAGAGATAGAATCTTCATACTTTTCTGCTGTTTCAAGGTACATACTAATAACTACCTAAATTATGATTGAATACTAAATTGTGATTGAATACTGGATTTTAAATTTCATTGTTCACTCCCTGATCTTTTCCAGAATATAATCAATATAAATAAAAAGAAGTCTACTTATCAATAATTTCTGCTTTTTTTTCAATGTATCATATATATGGACTTTAGAAGAAATAATCCATAGTTTATCTGCTGGGTCTTCTTGGGACTTTCAAAGTCTTCTGTTGCTGAAATTTTCCCAGGTTGCTTGTTTTAGACATAACCAATTTCTGTTATTTTAATTGTTTTGCTACTGGAAACAGATATTTTTGTTTGTTTGCATTGTTTTGTGTTTTTAAATCAAGGCTTTGTTTTTATACTAAGGAGACTTGGTGGCACAGTGAGTTGAATGTTGGTCTGTTAACTGCAAGGTTTACCAGCAGCTCTGTAGAAGAAGATGAGGGCTGTCTGCTACTGTAAAGATTTGTTGTTAAGTGCTGTCAACTTGGTTCCAACTCATAGCAACCCTGCATAGGATTTCCAAGGAGTGACTGGTGGGTTTTAACTGATAACCTTTTGGTTATGTTACAGTGCTATACTAGGACTACTGTAAAGTTATACATTCTCAGAAACTGTAGGGAATGGTTGTGTTCTGTTCTAATACATCACTGAATCAGAGACCACTCAAGCAATGGCTTGGTGACCTTGATATTTCTGCCTAAGAACACTTCCCACTTTTCTAACTACATTCAATGTAGGTTTGTGCTCTGATTAAAAAGCAAAAATTTTAAAACTGGGAATATTCAGAAAAATGCAGAAGGCAACCTTGTAATACTTACTGATGTTGAGGAAGAGAACTAAAATTTTGTATTGTTTTATCTATAGCCAAATCTTTTAGAGAATTCACCTGATGATTCAAAACAATTGTGGAAATGTTTATAAAATGTTTATAATCTAGTTTATTTTCCTTAATGTAGCTTATAAATATGGTATGACTAATATACATTTTTAAGTTTTTATTGAATTGTGTGATAGTTTACATGGGAGAACATTAGCTTTACATTCATCCTATCATATTTCATTTCATTGCAATGATACTAATATTTTATTTACTTATTGTTTTTCTCTTTCATTAGAATATTAGCTTCATATAAGAAGAGACCTGTTTCTTCACTGCTGAATTCAATAAGCCCACAACTGGGAACTTAATAAGCACTAAATGAATATCTGTTTAATGAGTCAATAAATAGAGTTAAATTATCTGCCTAAAGCATATTCTTCACTTGACTCCAAAATGAGCCAATGAAAGTGACTCTTTATACGCCATCTAAGAGGTGATTGGCCTTTCTATCCTTAATAGTTAAGACTGCTGAGACTATGGTGAAAAGCAATCAAAGTACTCCAGTGACAGAGTTTCTCTTCTCTGGATTCCCTCAGTGTAAAAATGGTAGCCTCCTCTTCTTCATTCCTTTGTTTTTCATCTACATATTCATTGTCATTGGGAATCTCATTGTATTTTTCGCAGTCAGGATGGATACTCGTCTCCACAATCCCATGTACAATTTTATCAGCATTTTCTCATTTCTAGAGATCTGGTACACCACAGCTACCATTCCCAAGATGCTCTCCAATCTCATCAGTGAGCAGAAGACTATCTCCATGATTGGCTGTCTCTTGCAGATGTACTTTTTCCATTCACTTGGAAATTCAGAAGGAATTTTGTTAACTACCATGGCTATCGATAGGTATGTTGCTATCTGTAATCCTCTTCGCTACCCGACCATCATGACACCCCGGTTATGTGCTCAGCTCTCTGCAGTCTCCTGTATCTTTGGTTTTATTGTGTTGCTCCCAGAAATTGTATGGATTTCCACACTGCCCTTTTGTGGCCCCAACCAAATTCACCAGATCTTCTGTGACTTTGAACCTGTGCTGCGCTTGGCCTGTACAAACACTTCCATGATTCTGATTGAGGATGTGATCCACGCTATTGCCATCATTTTCTCAGTCCTAATCATTGCTCTTTCTTACATCAGAATCATCACTGTGATCCTGAGGATTCCCTCTGCGGAGGGCCGTCAGAAGGCCTTTTCCACTTGTGCAGCCCATCTTGGTGTCTTCCTGATGTTCTATGGTAGTGTGTCACTCATGTACCTTCGATTCTCTGCCACTTTCCCACCAGTTTTGGACACAGCCATTGCACTGATGTTTGCAGTTCTTGCTCCCTTTTTTAACCCTATCATTTATAGCTTGAGAAACAAGGACATGAAGATTGCAATTAAGAAGCTTCTCTGTCCTCAGAAGGTGTTTAATACATCTATAAGTTAGTGCCAGCTCACAAATACACACTACTCTGACATAATGAAGCATTAAATTCACACATAATTCATTCACTGTCACATTGATATTTTGTGTATGTTATTCTATACCTCGCAGTGTCTAAGAGTACATCTTTATTTTGTTTATACATGTTCAATTAAGTTAGCATGAATTATCTGTCTAGAGGTACATAGATAGATGTAGTTCATAAAGGAACTTGATGTTTAAGCCATGAAATTATGTTTATGAAAATTAAGATTATTATAACAATCACTACAGATTATGAAATATAATGGTTAAGACCATAAGATCTGTAAAACAGGTCAAGGTTCACATACTAGTTTTGTAACCTTGCACAAATAATGAATTAACCTCTTTGCATTCTAGTTTTATCACTGTAAAATAAGTATACAAGTGACATATTTTAAAAATAGGACTGCATATACTTATAAAAATTGTGCAGCTGTTCAAAATGGTATATAATTGAAGTATAAAATAAGTATTAGTCATTCATATTATTTACCATAATTAGTTTTTGCTATGCTTGTTTTTCCAGAATGCTATAATAAAGAGTACCATATTAAAAATAAAAAGAATGTGGTTGTTACCTTTTAAATTTCAATATTCTTGCTTTATTTCTGTCCCCTTTTAAATGTTGCTCTGCAGTGTCATAAAAATAATATTCTAAAATGCATGCTTAGTCTTTTGCACTAGGATAATAATTTAAACCCACGTATTTAAATTTCCTTTCCATCAAAGCAACATAAGCTTATATGTGAACTGTTGTTGTTGTTAAGCACCATGTAGTCGGTTCCGACTCATAGTGACCCTACACAGGGTTTCTGAGGCTGTAAATCTTTATGGGAGCAGAAAGCCTCAACTTTCTCTCAAGGAACGGCTGGTAGTTTCGAACTGCCAACTTTGAGGTTAGCAGCCTGATTTGTAACCTAACAACAATACGCTACCAGAGTTCCTTGTATGTGCACTAGACACTGAAAAAGTAAAAAATATGCTAAGTGTAAACTATACACAGCGTTGCCCAGAGACTTTCACAATGGCTTCTTTAACTCCATAAAATATCACATATCTTATTTCTTTCAAGAAAACAAAAAAGTAGTAATGCCTCTGTCTGCCTAAAGTAACTAAAGCTAAAATTGTCTGTTGTCTCCAAGACATTGTAATGTAATTGTATTTACATTTTATTGATGATTCTTAGGTTTTCACCAACAGTTTTCTGATGAGTGCTATTAGAGAATGGAAGTATGTACACCACTTCCATTCTCTGTGCAGCTCAGTTTAGGGTGGGTTTGGCTGGTATTGTGTGATGTCTATCATTGATTGGGTGGCATAGGAGTTAGTATTGGCTCTTGGCCAGTGGGTGGAGCTTTGAAGGGTGCAGTTGTGGCTAAGCACTGTGGGCATAGTTTCTATCTCCCATCAGGTAGGGCTAGAGAAGAAAACACACAGAAAAGCAAAGCAGAACTAACAAACAGCAAAACCAGAATATGATAAAGGAGAAAAAAGAAATACAAATGGGCAGTCACCAGAAAAAAAGGACATAACAATGAAAAAGAGCAAAGAGGGACAGGAAAATAGAACTGTACACACACAAGGGAAGAGATAGAAACACTAAAACAACAGAGAGGGAAGGCTAGAAAGAGACTAGACAATAGTAAAGAAAAATCAAGAGGTAAAAAAGAAGAGGGTAGAAATGAGCAACAGAAGGAAAGAAGAAAAACAGTGGAGCTCAAAAGGATAAAAACCAATAAAAGGGAAAAAGAAGAAGGAGAAAAAAGACTAAACAAACAAAGACAAGAAAACAATGAAAGGAAAACTAAACAAAAATCCAGTGCAGTTGTTGGACCCAGAAAGCAGAAAACTCTAGGACTCCTGCCAGTCATGGAACTAACAAGTTGGTTGGAGGAGGAATGTGATGGCTGAGTTTCCAGCCCTACATAGAGTTCATATAAGTCTAGATATTGTCTAAGTTCAGGGCACCCAAATCAAGAAATAGTTCATGGAGACCCTTCAGGTCTTTGTTTCAGTGTTGTCAGAACCAGAGGGCAGCTGGAGACAGGGTGGCTGCTAAGAAAGTTCCTGCTAGTCAAATTTCGAATTGGAAGCTCTGTGTATCTGAAGCAGAGCCCACATAAATCTAAGCACCAGGGTTCTGCAGCAGGCACTCACATCACACTGGCTCAAACTGCAAGGCTCAGAACTCAGAGAGCAGGGTGGGAGGCGGTCTCACCTCTGTTATCCACAAGACTGTAGGGAACAAGACGAAATCACACCTTTTCTTTCATTTGTGTGAACCTGTGTTGTTAGATTGACTGTCTTTCCCAAGCTGCTCACAAAAATTCAAGATGGCCAGCAGTCCATTCACCAGTGTCCTTCTCTCCCCACCCCTGCTCAAGTTCTCCCCAAGTAGGTACTCAATCTCTTTCGCTAACCTTTTCTTTGAAAGTTTAGAGGATTCTAAATTTCATAGGGTTCTAGGATTGTCCTTTGAATCTATATCATTTGATCTCCCCTTCTCTGAAACCCTATACAGGGTCGCTATGAGTTGGAACAGACTCGAAACCATTTAAAAACAACAACATCTTTGTTGTAGAGGGTCTGTGTAGTATGTCTGTCTAGTCCCCCATCTTGCCAAAAATTCAAGATTCTGCTTTTAAACTGTTTTATTTACACACATCAAGATGGCTTGAATCTCAAGGTTGGTGGTTCGAGCTCACCAGCCACTCCTTGGAAACCCTATACAGGGTCACTATGGGTTGGAACCAACTCGACGACACTTAACAACAGCAACAACAATTTACACACATCAAGTGTCTCTGATTTTAAACTCTAGTACAACCATAAACAATTCCATCTTTGACACATTATTCTATGTTTTTGCTATTTTTAATTCATTTTTGTTTTGTTTTGTTTTTTCTTTTCTACCTATATAAACAGACACATACACAAAAAGATTGACTTTTTTGTGTGGTGCTGTAGGTTAAACACTGGACTAGGAGCTGCATGATCAGCAGTTCATACCCACTAGCCATTCTTGGAAATCTTATACATTGTAATTATGAGTGAAAACAGACTCAACAGCATGTAACAACAATGACAACAGTATATTTTTAAGAACATTAGCTTTGTGAAATGAATGGCCCAATAATTGAATAATCACTATAATTAGAAACAGGAAACTTTGGGAGAGAACAAATGCTCTTTCATGTAACAGACTAATTCTTATTAAAAATGTGAGCTCTCAGTGAGATTTATAAAATCTATTAGCAAAATTTAGCAGCAAATAAAATAAATTGTGGCACTGAAGGTTAATGTGCTGGACTGCAAAGTCAGTTTGAACTGAAAGGTTGGCAGTTCAACCTCACCAGCCACTCCTAGGAAACTCTATACAGGGTAGTTACAAGTCAGAACTGACTTGATGGCACTTAACAACAACAACATATATATAAACTGCAATGAAGATATTGAAAAGTAGATTGCATACTGCATACAATGAAAACAATGACTTGGACTATTAGTTGAGAATTTACTAAAGATAATTTAAAAAAAAAACAGCTACAAGCATACATTGACAGAGAATTTCCAGAGGTTCAAACCAGATTCAGAAGAGGACGTGGAACGAGGGATATCATTGCTGATGTCTGATGGATCTCGTCTGAAAGCAGAGAATATCAGAAAGATGTTTACCTGTGCTTTATTGACTATGGAAAGGCTTTCGATTGTGAGGATAATGACAAGCTATGGGCAACAGTATGAAGTATGAGTATTCCGGAACACTTAATTGTGCTCGTGAGGAATCTGTACATGGACCAAGAGGCAGTTATCCAAACAGAACATGGAAACACTGAATCATTTAAAATTAAGAAAGGTGTGTGACAGTGTTGTATTTTTTCACCAGAATTACTCAACATGTATGCTGAGCAACTAATCCAAGAACCTGGGTTATATGAGGAAAAACATGACTCATTAACAACCTGTGATATGCAGATGATACAACCTTGCTTGCTGAAAGTGAAGAGGACTTAAAATATTTACTGATGAAGATCAAAGAGCACGGCCTTCAGTATGGATTACATCTCAATGT